CTTTATGAAGAAAAAATAAAAATAGAACTACAAGAAGAAGAGGAGAGAGGACCTTACGGTAGCATTATGGCAGTACAAACCATGATGTTTTCTAAGCTATGAACACAGTAAAACTTTTAGGGTACAAGGATGAGCAATACAACACTAGGTGTATCCTACATTTCAGTATCAGATCTATTTCTTTGGGCCATTTATGTGAGAACTCTGGATCCTGGAGCTGGGAGCAAGATGGAGAACTTAAGCAAAAATTGCCCTGGTGGAATGCCAGGACTTTTGTACATCTATGTCTCACCTTCTCCCACCCCGTGATTCTCCCCACTCTCAACTTCCGTGTGTCCCCTGTGTACTCCAGACACTGAAGGGGTGAGACACTGGGCATTCCAAAAGTGACTTTTGAATAGGGTGCTCTCCAGCCAGATTGGGCTGAGTCTGGGTATCATCCGCACAGACACCATCATGAACTTTCAGTAGACCTCCATCCTTGGCTTTCCATCAGATTCTGATGGGCACTCACCCTTATTCAGATTTACATCTCCCTCGGTTTGTTTAGTGTGTGACCTCTTCTCTCTTCCTATTCCAAATAGACTAACACAGTAAAATGAACCAAATGACAAATACAAATATCAAAGCATTCCGGGGGTTTCTGCTCACAGGGGAGATGGCTAATCTTTAGGGGAAGCCTCATCATGCCCAGTAGAAGAATCAGTTCCCAGTTAGGATACGGATCAAGAGATGATTTTCCTCTGCAGAAGAAGAGTTTCAGATGCCTCTCACTCCTACCGTGAACGCAGCGCTGAGAGCAGCAGAGTACCCACCTCCAAGAGTAAGAATCTCTTGCCCCTGATGACATTTAATAGCGGCAAATCTTTTTAGAAGGAAGATTGGAGTCTGCAAAAAAATTAAAAATTTTTGAACTTGAAATAAACACTGAAGCTGAGAACTATTGAGGAAATAATGGGAAACATCTAGAGAAAACAACCTTTCTAAGTAAAGAGGAGTTTAGACCCAATAGCCTGGGAAGAAGCAAATAGTTTTTAAATTGGGTGGAAGCAGTGGCATCCATAAGAATCCAGGAAAAAAAAATTAAGTGGTAACACAGAAGTGTTCTCACATTTTTTTTTTAACAAGGGAGAATGGGGAGTTGATATCAGTTTTCATTGCATGTTGTATGTCGATACTAAATACATTGTGATGGAGCCTTGTCAGCCTCCCCCTGCTGTCTCTAAATTCAGCTGTCTTATTTTACCCTGAGAGATTTTACTTATTGTGCTTTGTGATGCAGCTTAAGATAGGGCTTTTGCTCTGATGCAAAAGGTTATGTCCAAGAGAGAAAAATAAGATAAGCATCTCTAAAGCTTTTCTATGTGCAAAGTCTAGAGCTAGAACTCATTTCTGATTTATCCCAATAATGTTAATTATAGGTATAGCTCAGTGGAAAATCTTAATTATTATTGTGTTTATCTCTAGCTTCTTAATAAAGAGTCTTTTCAAGTCTAATCCATCCTACTTTTTGAAGCATACGCTTCTTTATGAGCCATAGCTGTGATCACATTACCCTGTGTTCAAAAGTTTTCATAAGCCACTCCTTGCTTGTTAGCTCCGCCAGGCATTCAAATCCATGCCAACCAGGGATACTGTGAGATTTTTAGGACTCATCGCTTTATTCTAGCTAGTCACCTCCTATCCAACTCTCTTGTATTGTATTTTGATTTTTTTCTGCATTTATTTCTTTTTATTTTAGGCATTTTTTTTCTAGTCAGGGTTATGACCCACTCATGACTACCCATCTCTGCATGCCCCAATTCCATCTTTCCACATGGTACAGAACAAAAGCTTCATAAAACCATATCCAGAAAACATCTTTTCCTTCTCTCAAATCCTATTTTTGTGCTATTTTTCAGATGTGACCTATAACTAACTTTTAAATTAGTTTTTATATACTGACATAATTTATCCTGAAAATTTCTGAGCTTCTTAAAAGTAAAGACTCCATAGACTATGATTCAAAGTCTTGAAATTAGTTACATATGCAATAAAAGCATACTGAACAAATTAATGAATAAATCACTCTTATTCCCTTTAACATTCACATGGAGTGTTAGAGTCATTAGAGACAACTTTATACTTGTATGACTATATAATAGGATGCATTGAGTTCTTCAATACTAAAAATTTAAAAATAAAGATACAGAAAGCCTAGAACTATGTCAATTCCCTTCAGCTTCATATATCCATTGGAGAAAATACTGAGATAGCACACAATAGAGCAGTTGCCAAAAAGTGATCTAGCCAGAAGTGGTGTTGTGGCATTGCATTCTGTTACTGTTGAAATTAAAATAAAAACTAAATCTGTACTGCTAGTTTAGGATTTTCTGCTATAATTTTAAAGAAATGTTCCTTACAATATTAGTCTTTAAATTTATTCTGTGAACAAAGGATATTTTGTTCTAATAACTTTGAGAAACTATGCCAATTATGTCTCCTTTTTGGAAATTCATGCTATTAAGTGATATATTAAAGGTTTCCAGAAACCAGATAGCTTTTAAAAAGATCGTTTAACCTTGATTAACCTTGTCTCTCAATTAGAATTGCTCTTCAAATTGTCTGCTTCATATTACAATGATAAATATCCCAGTGAAAGAATCTTCCATGAAAAATGTTTTAGAAAATAGACATTCTACATTTATATAAAATATTTGTAAATAAAATGATCATTGGGCTACCAAACCCAAAAGATCCACTTTAATTACAGCTTTTAGGTTGAAGTATTTACAATATTTTGTTTTTGGTTCATAACTGATCTAGGTGCCCGAGATCTAAGTGCTGGGGCACAGGTGAAGGTAGACCTGCAACTTTGTTCATTTGACTCTTCCAACTATGTTTATAATTAATGACATCAACTTATTCTATACAGCTGGGTAACATTCTGTCTTGGCCACCTCACACCCTATGGGAATATTTTAAAATAATAACATGATCATGGCTTAAATTCATTGGCATCCTAGTTAGAATATTTAGTTCCAAATATTAAAGAGTATCCAAGAGAAAGTTTACAAGTATAAATCTAAGTGTTTTAAATTAGTTATACCTTTGTTTTGAATGGTGCCACATAATCAGTATATAATCTACTATATAATGACATTTTGCTGAATAAGTGAATGCATAAATCATTCTTTTATATTCCTGTAGAAGGTATAGATCATTGAGATAACTGGATCTATTTATGTATTCCTATATCTAAGTACTCATATACTTATTAGATTATAAACTGAATAATCTGTAATTCAAAATATGATGTGATAAAATTATGAGCCAACAAGAAAATAATTGAATGCTTTCTAAAGAATAAAGTTTGAAAATGCTTTACAAATACAATTATGTTTCTATAGTCACCTCAAATATTCTAATGGAAAATAACTGGAGGAATAATGGAATATTTGGAATATCATAATATTAGAAGTAAATATTTATTGAAAATAGGGAAGAAAGACTGTTCAAAAGTAGTATTCAAATGGACTTATTGCAATATTAAATGTCTAAATATAAAAGACTACCACACATGGGGTAGAGTGGTCAAAAAAAAATAAGTAAATAAGCCCTGACTTTTTTTGTTTGTTTCCATCAAAAAGAAAGCTCAGTAATTCTAAGAATTATTAAAGAAAATAACAAAAATTTCCCAAAATTTCATTGAGAGGAGATAAATATTCAAAAAAGAGATAAATATTCAATCTCATATTTGGATCATTGAGTTTGAGATCAGAGAAAGATCAGAAATCCAAAAAGAGAATATATTATCCATGTTAGCCAAACCCCTCTTTCCATTAGGGGAAGATTATATTTGTGCAAACATACTGTCCTTCCTCAGGTCAACTCTTGGTTTAATGGCTCAATTAAAAAAAAATAGAACATCCTTTTTTATAACACTTTTCATGATCAGATTTATGATGAAGAAATAAATAGACTGAGATTTTGAAAAGTGGGACAAATTTTATAAGGAATGATGGTAATTAGACTATTTGTAAAAGTTCCCTTTTAAAGGGAAAAAGAAAATGATAGTATGAAATTAAGGGATGGGAATCTGTTAAGCAGAGTTTTAAACTGCTTGCCTCCCCACACAACTAAACAACATGAATTTGGCAAATCTAACATGGAGAGTGTGATAATACACAAAACAATGTGAATTTTCCAGATGTACTTTCCAGATGTGCACAGCTATTGGTCACAGTGGTCTTTGGGCAGGGAGTATAAAACACAAAGCTGACAATCATTGTGCTATGAGAGTAAAGTGAGAGCTGTGAGGTTTTATTTCCCAATCAAGTATCTTTCAGAAGGTTCAGAGTTCTGTTACAACTTTTCAGAGGTCATCATAACTCAGTTTTAACTGAAGAATCTATAAGGAACTAAACACATTGGGATCAGATAGCCACAGGCTTCTTCTAAATGTCTTCACTAGTGTTCTAGATCTTTATGACTAAATCATTGCTGTATTGATCTTGGTACTGGGGCAAACATGAGCATCTTTGAGTTACTGGCTCACTGTCAAAACCAGAGGTATTTTCCATTGTATGGTCCAATGTAACTGATGGAAATAGACTGTGTGTCTTCTCATTTTCACCGAAGCAAAGGTATCTTATTTTCCAGGTATGTGGTAGAACTCCAGTGAAGGGAGAAAGGGCTTGTTAGAGGGCTGCTGTTACCAATGACACTGAGTTTCCTAGTTGGTGAAGTATGGCTACATGCATTCAACAGTGCTATAATACCATTTGAAAGTTACATGCTTCAAAATGTGACCTTGATGAATGAATCTTATCTTTAGGATCCCTATAATATTATGACAAAAAAATGCTGTTGGTTGAGAGTTTGCCTATAAGACTCCTAATGTGATACTAGTTCAGCTGCAAATACCTAGAACGTGTTTTTGTTCGTGTACTAAAATTGTCTTTGAAGAGGATAACAGCAACACATCAAAAACACATATTGAAAAAGAGAGTGGAACAAACTGGTGGTAAAAACATGACCTTCCTCCATAAGGTCAAATAGTTTTATTTTGATTAAACACTACAATACAGTATATATGCATTAAAAAAAGAAAACTCTATAATGTATATAAATTATTCCTTCCATTCATCAATTCTTCTTTTCTTTTCCATTACAGCTTTGGTACAATGTGATTCAGTATATAATTTTTAAATACTTTTAGCATCACAAACTCAACACAAAGTACAAAACTAATCCAAATGAGGGATATTATAATCTACACAGTGGTGTTCAGTGGTAGGAGAAAATCTTACCTCGATGAATTCATGTCACTAGCTAAGCTATAAAGGCATACCTAGCAGACATGACAGAAATATGCACCATTAACCAGCTAACATGTGTATTAGTCTTTGTTTATTTTTTTACAGAATACCAGCAGCAATCTTTTGAGTGTTGAGTGAATACTTAAGTCCTCAGCCAGTCTTCCCAACTTGCTCCTCTTCCCTTAAAGGCCATGAGTAATAGCTGATGAAATAAACCACAGCCAGACCTCTCAGAATTTGACCTGCCAACCGGCATTGCTCATACTTGCACAATTTGTCCTGCAGCTGGCCGACATCACAGGGACAGTGCTGGAGGGGCAGTGTGGACCAATCAGCCTAAGGTTGTTCTGAGGGTTTGGCGGTGTAACGTTACAGTAAACAGGCATTCCAGTGGCCGGGAGTGACCCTTGAGCTGCCTGGTTAGGTAGCATGATTGGCTGTTGGTAGGACTGCTGGGGCAGTCCTTGAGAACCTTGCGTCATTGGCACCTGGAGAAAGACACAAGTAAGAAACATATGTGAAGAGGCTATTCTGATGTGTCAATGAGTAAGACGGTGTCATGAAACTTACTCAAGCTTTTGAGTTAGACCTTACAAGTCACTGATCCAACTTCTGCCATTTACCAGCTATTTCACTTGGGGAAATTAATTTATTTTCTCTGATTCCCTAATCCAACTGGATAAGGATACCTACTTTAAAGAGCCACTGAAGGACTGCAGGAATGGTACAGAATGTAATGTCTGGCAGGCAGTAGATGCTCATAGGGTGTTAGCTCTGAGCTTCCTTCCCTCCTTTGTTGATGTTCTCCTGGTACTACAGTCTGAATCTCTCATGCTGGACGTCTCTCAGCTTGGAAAGCCATGCATATCTTTAGTTTATGGAGTCTCCCATAATAAGTGGGGCTTTGTACCTGATAGGCTAAGGTAGGTTCCACGGAACCAGAAGAAACTGGTGCAGCTAAATTTAAGATTAAAGCACTGCACTTCTTCCTGTGTTTTTCAGGATACAAATTTCTATTTCCAGTGTATTTCAAGATATAAATCACAACAGGGTGCATAACCCATTTGAAATACACAATTGGTTTTAGTCTATATAATGCAGTTGTTAAACCCATAAGTGCCCTTTACGTAAATCTGAGATATCATTTAAAAATCTCTCATAGCTTAAAATTATTGTAAAATAAAATTTCTTAAAATTAATACAAAAATGGAAAATCATCATGAGGAATTTCTACCAATAAGTAAAATTTCAATAAAATGCCCCAATAGAACTTCAATGAATTTTCTTCCATGAATAGGAAGTTAATATGGAAACAAATTTAGCAGGGCATTCAAAATCCCTGCCATTACAGAAACAGGTTTCCTATTTTCAACTTGCCTTTTATAATCTTGATTCAAAGTCAACTAACAACAGTAGTAGGCCAAGCACCTACCACCCAGCTAATTACCCCAAACAGGAAAGTACACACAGCTTCTACTTTGGCCCAGTACTACTTTGTAATCCACAGTTTTCCAAACAGCTGGTGTGCACCTGATAAGAAGACATGGTTGGGTAGGAGACCATTACGCTTTGCACCGGAGTTCCTTGCTGGCTGCTCATCACGCTCTGACTCTGTGGTGGCTGCTGCACTCCCATAAGGCCTTGGAATCCCTGCTGACCAGACAAGACTGGCTGATAACCTGTGAGGAAAAGAAAAGTGAGCTTTTGAACTGGTGGTGCCAGGAAGAACACCTCGAGGTTCCAAGAAATAAGAACACTTATTCAGAAGGCCATCTTCAGCATCTCAATCTCTGTTATCATGAACATGTTATCCAGATGTTAATTTCCTTTAATTTATTTTTTATTATTTTTTTTTACATCGAAGAGCAGACAAGATTACAGATCCAAAAAGTTTGCTGACATTTTGATATTTATGCAGAATGAGCCCATGAGTACATGCGATGAAGGTAAATTCCTCATGACAAAAGGACCGAGGTCTCTTGACATAAGTTGGCTGCTAAATTACACTTCTCATATTTGGCTTTTTTTTTTTTTTTTTTGGTTTTCAATGACATTTGGAAAATTCACAGTTTATCAAGTTTTTTTTTAAATTAAATTTACTTATTCCCCTACTATCCCACTTTCCTGTAATTACCTCATTTCACACAGAGACTGTCAAATAGCCTATTAACTCTGGATCACTTGTGTTTTTCCATGTCTTAGTGAATGGAATGACCTCGCCATCCTGAGTAAATAAATATCCACTGCCTTAGACAAAAGGGCAACAGGAGGTGAAAGGTGTGCCATGCTTTCATTCTGCTTCACCACCAGTTCCTCGAAGAAAATTCTGGTCAAACATACTTAATAAGTGACCAAGTACTAATTACATTAATAATGTAGAACATAACACTTTAGAATTTCTGTTTGTATCCTTCTGGGTGGGTCAGTGGTTAATTTTCTTTTCTCTCTTTTCAAAGTGGACTGGAATTGATTTGTTTCAGTTATTTTAATTGTCACAGAGTGGTTTTAAATGCATTTTTCTTTTTTGGTGGTGCTGCAGAATTGAACTTAGCATCTTGTGTGTACGAGGCAAGTTCTTTTCTTCTCAACTACACCCCCAAACCTAAGGAACTGTGAAGTATGTTTATAGATATTGGGAAGATAGTTATGATTTAGGTGAAAAAGACACAGTGATAGAGATATTAGAATAGGGTCCCTTCGTCTTGTTTCCAGAGCTTAGAATATTCACTATACTGCATAATTGAGAATAAGTAGAGCTGCTGTCTTAACACAGTCCTCTGAGAGAGGAGAATTTTACAATCCTAGAATTTTTTTTTTTAACACAAACATTGGGCTAAGTTTTACAACCAGATTATAAAAATGAAACACAAGGTTAAAAAACACCTAAGCAGTACACAACATTAATAAATAACATGTTGAATTCATGTGCGGGCCTTAACTTAATATTAAAACAGGATAAAATTATAGTCTTTACAGGAAAAAAAATACTTTGTTCTTCTTTGTTATATAAAATATATATTTTTATTCCTTCCAGAAATATTGTGGAAACATGGCTTGCAAGTAGTTAGTGAATTAGGAGACTGGCTCAATCCACCAAATGAGCTAGAAACACAGTGTCCTAAGTATGGAATACCTGAAAGGGAAAACTTGGGGACTGGCTGGTTGTATTGGAGGACCTGTATGGAAGTATGAAAGACCTGAAAGGGAACACTTGGGGATATCTTGTCTGTATTTACAATGGGAAGGTAGAACCAGTGGTCACTTTAATTTACCCTTTGTCCTTCATTATGTGTTCCCTTATCTCACATTACCATGAATTACCTGAATTCATCTCACAAAGGTTTTGACTTACTGAGTTATTTTAATCTCTTGTGCTATCCTATGGTTAAGGATAATGGCCAATTGCCCTCCAGCTTCATTCTGACGATCGTACACAGTCAAAGCTTAGCACCCTATTTAAGTCTAATTGTATCAACCCAATGTGCTATATAACTAAAGTGTTTACAGTTTATTCAGTAAAGAAAACATCAGTAGACTCTGAGAAAAAAATGCAACTAAGGCCATATCACTGCTAAAACTACCTATTAGAAGCCCTCATATGCAGAGGTACTTGAGAAAAAAATTCTTTTAACATGGATTGCAAAATTAATATTAATTGGTTAATATTATCATTGGTTCTTATTCTAAATCTTCCTTTCTATTTCAAATAGCCAATTGCCCTGAAAAAAAATATGAGGCTATTTTGCCATTTCGTTATGACATTATTCTAAACCACATCAAGTGCTTTGTAGCATGAGTGATTATATATATATATATATATATATATATATATATATATATACACAGCTTAGTATGGCTAAAACTTATGACCAACAATCTACCTTTCCACTTAACCCTATAGCAAACAGCAAGCAACGTGAACTCACTGTCAAGTGCACGACATTGTGACTATCATAGAGTCTCATATCTGGCAAAAGAGTCAAAGTACAGGTTGAAAAATGAAAGAAACATCTCACTATTTTGGGGCTTGCATGTGACAATATAGTGAAGACCCAGTTGACCTCAAAGGATCTTTCGCAAAATACACACAACCACTCAGCAAACGAAGAGATAAGAGGAAAGGAGAACAGAGGACAAGAGAGGAAACAGAAACTGGGGTGCCCCAATGTCTCAAAATTATTTATGTATTTGCTTAATGAACCCTTACATCCTTTCTCAGAGTCCTTTCATTCAAAAGTAAACTGAGGTGAGAAATAAGAGATTGATTTGTTACACAGCCTCTATACCAGAATAGAGATGTTAAGACAATCATACAATCAGAGCATCTTGGGAAGAAGAGGAAGCAAACATCCAATAACATTCAAGGAGACAAAAAGCCAGGAGGTTGGGTGGCCCCCTCCCAATAAAGACAGAGAGCCCAGAAGAGCAGGATCCCTCTCTGTGAACCCAGACTCAGCTGCACTACAGTGTCTCCCTCCGCGGCCTCCTCTGCCTGGTGATTTGTGAGCTTTAATATTCAGTTATGCATAGCAATGGACTACCAGCTCCGCACTGGGGTCCCACAGTAAACACACTTAAGGCAAATAAGGATTTATGTGGGGAGCAAATACTCTCCAATTTCAAGATGAAAACCTAAGTGTAAGGAAAGTTCAATTTATATTCATGAATCCCATTCATTTCTCAATTCGCTCTCCAGGCAAGAAATTTACATCTGGTATGGTTTAATTGGGGAGGGGGGTACGGTATATGCTCGTTTCTTTAAATTATGTCAGGGAAGGTAGGTTGCAGGATGGTCCCTAAGACGGGAGGCAGTCCGGAATGTGAATCTGAGCCCTGTTCCAGAAATAGATAAATAGAAATGAGATAGCTGTGACCTAAGAATGAACCAACAGTGTCTGCCTGGGACACTGCACACCCCCAAGGCAGAGATGGCAGTGCTGGTGGCAACCTGCTTATCTTGTCTATTCAAATGAGAAATGTGTTCTGGTTTGTCAATTCTTAGCTGTGAAATGACAACTTTTTCATATTTATTGAGGATTAGCAAGATATAATGCATCTTACAAAATAGAGACAGCAATAGTCTTGTGCCTTGTAGGCTTGCTAAGGAGATGATAAAGACATTAGCTATTTTTATTATTTCATTCTCAGTCAAGATGGATTCAATTTTCAAGTCACATGTGTCATTTATTTTCTGAAAGTAAGAAGGTTAGGAATGGACAAATGCCTACTAGCAAATAAAGAATGTACTCTGCTGGAATGGAGAAGCTATAAAATTTAAAATGTCTGCATTGTATAAATCTGGAAACTGAACAGGGTTTCTGCCAAAGTACAACAGTTGTTGAACGCTTTTTTTTTTTTGTAGTTTGAGGATAATTTGTTAATATTCACACAAGGAAATATTTCTCTTGATGTAGCCTAATTATGAAGATATTAATTAGGCAACATAAATTGGTAAGATTGTGACTGACATTATTTTAACTCTTATTAGTACTTTGTTACAGATACAAGATTTTGAGAAAAAGTGAAATGACAAAGTGGTAACCTGTATTTGGGAGTTTCTGTTACCCTTGCTCTTGCTGGTTATAGAGGCTGAACATCAGGAAAAGAAGAAATAAAACAGTGAATTTCTTAAGAAGTTAGCCAGTTCTTGCTTCCCCAATTCATCCAAGCAGTGTAATTTACATGTGTGCTTATTAAGTGAAGAATTCTCAATTGGTAGAATATCTTTTCAAATGATTAGATTTAATAATCTTCTTCAATACAACACTTGCTCGGCTTGGATGAACCAAGGTACAGATATTTCCCCTAGTTTCTAAGGAATCATCACACTGCTTGCTTCTGAATTCAAACCATACTTTGTTCAAGGTTTGAGGTAAAATTACAATAGCTCAGCAAATTCTTGAGTGTGACATAGCTGGTAAAGAATATGAAGAAGAAAAGTGTTTATCCAGGACTATTTATTCTCCTTTTGCTACAGTTTTATAGTTTGTGCATTTTTCTGCTTCCCAATATCCACCTAGTTCTGTTTCTTGGCTTCCTATCAGTCTCTGTACACTTTCATCAGCTTTGAAGATTTACTATTATAAATCAGCCATATGTGTCGATCACTGACTCTAAACCAAACAGTGAATTAAGTGCTTTTGCCATGACAATCTTGAGAAGCAGTCACTATTGCTAAACTCCTTTTATGGAACAGAAAATTGTAACTTAAAAAGATGTAGTAACTCATCAAGGTCACACAGCTACTGTACAGGAAAACTAGAATTTACAGTGTGGTTTTCTGACTTCGGTGTCCTTGCTCTTGCTGACTGAATGGATATACTAGTCCTTATTCATTCTTCCAACTCTCACACCCCTAACATTATCTCTTTCATGGAGCAAGTATTCAATGACCATTTATTGCATTAATTGTTTTCTCAATAGGTAACAACAATTAAGAGGAAAAGAATTACGCTTCACAGTTAGTTGAAGAGGATTCTGTTAGTATCAAAGAAAGAATGGAAATCAAAGGTAGAGAACAACTGCCCTGTGGAAACCAACTCATACCGCTCAATAACTGTTTTAAAAACTAGTTACTCAGGTAGTGGGACACCAGGCAAAGAGGGTGAAGAGTTGGGGGGGGGGGCTTCCAAACTGATTCCAGTTCTTTGGTTTATTTTATTAGCATCATGTTATCTGA